CTAAATGACCTGTTTTAAGACCTAAGCACTTCTCTCTGGCCTCTTCTGTGTTGTAAATTGGCTTCCCAAATGAGAATTCTTTGCATTCTTTTTAAATGGGTATTCTGTTGTATTTTATTGCATTGTATGATCTGCAGTCCTTTGAAGTAATTCTTCTATCAACCTTCAATCAATTATGCAAGGAGCGCTGTATGAGAGACAAGAAATAACAATCTCTTTAAGAAACTATTATGGTCTTTACACCCCGTCCATCGACATTATGGTCGGTCAGTCTGTCTTGAATTTTATGATTACATATTATTATGTGATAGCCTATTAGAGAAAAAACATATTAAAGGCATTTGTGAAAAGAAATAACATCAATCAGGAGTTTACTCTATGCAGGCGTATTCATTATTATCATTATCATATTGATATTATCATTATTGTTATTATTATTATTATTATCATTATCGTATTGATATTATCATTATTATTATTATTATTATTATTATTATCAGCATCATCACCATCATAATCATCATCATCATCATCATCTTCATCATCATCATCATCACCAGCACGACCACCACCATCATTATGATAATAAAAATGATACCAACAGTAACAATAATTAATGATAGTTAATGATAATAATAATTATTAATACTGTTGTAGATATCACCATCATGTATTAGTGTTGTTGTCATTATTATTATGTTTCAATTACTGACATTATATAGATAGTAATATCATTATTATGATCACCTTTATTGCAATGATCTCCATTCATATTGTTAATACGCCGTTATCATCGTCATTATTTGTTATCATTATTATTACTGTTGCTATCGTGATTATTGTTATATTTTGTTGTTATAATTGTTATTATCAGGATGATGATGAAAATTCCTTATTGCTATCAGTTTTACCCTTTCATCATAATTATACCGATCCCTCAATCTCACCTGACCACTGCCAAAATACCGCTGCCGTAGATGTGTTTTAAACAGCTGGGCAAAGCTTATCTGTGAACATTGCGAATTATACAGGTTTAAGACACCTACATTGTACCGGTGGATAATTTAACCTTGATAACCTTTTGAAAATATGTTATTTTCTAATTAGAACCATTGTTGGCAAAGGTTATATTGTAATTTTAACTGTTGGTGCTTTGAATTGAGTTCTAAGTGATTGTAAGATCTAATGATTATTCCATAAACCCCTTTGTCTTTTCATCTATACCTTACTGTATATTCAAAAGCTGATAGTCTAAATACATAGATGGCGCAGTATTCGTCATATCCAGAGGTAAGAAAAGACAAAGAGGGAGAGGAAAGGGGGGGAGGAGGGGGGGCAGGGATGAGGAAGGAAGGGAACATGATTGGATGGGGAGGGGGGGGGGGCTGATGGCAGTGGTTGCATTTCATTGGTAAATATTAATGATCAATTCCAATATTGTTATTATTTCTATTTATGTTATTATACAAAGGGAGATGTATTTGGTTATTGGTTGCCCGGTGCTAATCCTATGTTCAATGACTCTCTCGTTTTCTCTCTCTCTTTCTCCCCCCCCCCTTTCTCTCTCTCTCTCGGTTTATCTCGCTCTCTTTATCTCCCCCCACCCTCTCTCTCTCTCTCTCTCTCTCTCTCTCTCTCTCTCTCTCTATATATATATATATATATATATATATATATATATATATATATATATATATGTGTGTGTGTGTGTGTGTGTGTGTGTGTGTGTGTGTGTGTGTATGTGTGTGTGTGTGTGTGAGAGCGCCTCCACATTCTCGCGCGCACGCACACACACACACACACACACACACACACACACACACACACACACACACACACACACACACACACAACACACACACACACACACACACACACACAACACACACAAGCACGCACGCACTCTTACACGCACACACACACATCACATATATGTGTGTGTGTGTGTGTGTGTGTATAGAGAGAGAGAAAGAAGAAAGAGAGAAAAAGAGCATCAAACAAGGCATTCGTCCTGGAACAATCCATAAGCGTTTACTTCTCTCTTTCCTGCAATGGCTTATGATTAAAATAATATCGGCCATAATAATATTGGATGTTGGCCTTAAGTATCAGCCATTCATCCTCGACTCATTGCCACCTACCCTCTTTCTTTCTGCCTCCATCTCCCTTCCTCTTCCCGCCCTACTTCCTCGTTTCTCTTTAAATTAGCTACGACGCGTAATGTACCATCGAGAGCTGTAGAAACAAAAAAAACAAACAAAAAACTTGCTCGTGGGTGTAGATCCTCTCTCAGCCAGTCTCACAAAGTATATTTCATTCCTTCCTCAGTCAGACACTCAACTTATAAGAAACACAAAGTCTCACAAAGCCATCTTTCATTAAATTACAGATCATGTTGTTGTTGTTTCCCCCCTTCAGTTAAGTAACGTTCGAGGCAAAGTGGTACGCGGTTTTTTCCTCTCTGTGACCGTGTTGAATGCTGTGTGCATCGGTCTGGCCATCGCCATGTCATACGCGTCCTTCAGAGGATACCTTGTGAACGGAGGAACTGTTCTGCTGCTCTTCATGAGCCTCTCTCTCATATACTTCCTGTACAACGTCGGGCAGTCGTGCAATGATCAGGTGAGTTGTGCACTCGTGTTGCAGGTACTTGTATTTTGTATTTTTGCTTTTTTGGTTTTGTATTTTGCATGCGATTTGTGGGATGCAGTGTACAGGGGCTCTCCTAGTTCTCTGGCAAAAATTGTATATAGTAGAGGTAGATGCATCGTAAGCTCTATTAATAACTGGGTTAAAAGACTTTAATTTATTATGCTGTAGCTAGAAACAGCATTATGTTGGAGTATCTGCTTGTTCTGGTAGCACCTACCCCGTGCTTGTCGTTTTTGGCTTCGATGTTTCGGGATAAAACAATCTTTTACTAATATGGTTATTTCTTCAGTGTGTGATCGGAAGGACATGTCTAAACACTACAAACACTAAACAATAGTAAACACACTAATGTAGTTTAGAAAAAAAACTATATATCAATAGAATGTACAATCTCATTAGTTATGGGGACCATTTTCCTTGAAAATGGCATAAAACCGAAAATTTGGCGTTTGAGATTTACCAATTTTGAGATATTCCAGCCTTCAAGATTTTCAACTATACTCCATCCCATCACAGAAAAGGAAAAACTGGCAACTCCGGTTTACTCCAATTCGCGAAAAAAGAATATATATGAATAAACCAATAAATAAACAACAAATAAAAAGTGGTGTAAAGTCATGGAAATGTATATGAATTCTGTAAAAGAAAAAAAAAATATAAGCCTAAATAATAGGTATCAGCTGATTAGAATAGGCCTCCTGGTTCCGTTGATTTCCTTGAGACTAAATGAGATGCACTATAGCCTTTGTAAGTCCATTATTTTTACTGTTATTGATTTGTCTCATTTGTTTTATTTTTTTTTCTTCTGGGGGGGGGGGGGGGAGGGTCCTCGTGCGGGTTATCCTTCCTAAATAATTTTCCCCCAGAATTGGCAATTAGGCCTTAGTAAACCTATATTTTCTATTTTTTTTTTTTATAGAATGCGGAAAAAAGTTGACATACCCTTTGTGCTTCACAAGAAAATGTAGATTGTTAAATCAAATGTATGTTTTACAATCTGAACACCATCATATAAGTAATATGTACAGGAAGTGAACTCAACTATATACATAAATCTATATACACGCCATAATATATACAGTATGTACACACATTCACTCACCCATTCATACACTCACACGCACACTATGTACTAAACCCCTTCATAATGGACACGAACCTTTGCGCATATTTACCGGTCGCGTGTGGGAGAGTCTGTGTGCATGCAAGGTCTGTATTAGTATATACTTATGTGCGTACAGAGTAAATGGCGGGGAAATATGCCAAGGTTTTGCTATGTGTTGTCATGAAGAGTATTACACTGTTTATTTTAGTTTATACAAATTAAATGAATTTCCATTTTTATTAGTTTGCTCTTGAATAAGTTGTCTATTTTTTTTTTTTTTTTTTTATCTTACTTATGGATATCTCCCCGTGGTCCATGTATTTTCCAAAATGATCATATTTTGATCACTTCACAAGAAAAGGAATTCGAAATAAAAAAGTATGAGTACTTGTGTGTGTATTCACCTTGTAAAGTTTCATCAATTATGTATGGAATTGTTAATGCAAAAAACAGAAGGTACTTTTAAAACGGAAAATGGCTTTCTTCACGGGGTAACTAAAAGAAAAGAAATTGAACCTATTCTTTTTACGTACATTTCAGATTCATACACAATGAAGCAATGTACGCTCTCATGAAAAGTCTTTTAGCCTAATGGACTAACGTAAAGGATTGCGTTTTTACATTGTTTAGCCAAGAGCTTTCTCCTGTACTCTCGAGGCTTCCTTCTCCTGAGGGGAAGATCCTTGAGGTTATGAGCCTTCTAGCCTCCCAGCAAAGGAGGGGAAAACTATTTTCGGATATTCTGTCATTACTGGACAAGTCTAGTCTTCGAGGGTTTCCGGCGGGGATTCATAGAAAGTTAAAGAATATAGAATGTCAATTAGATAATCTCCCGTTTATCCAAAAAATGAAAAAAATACATGAAAACTAAACACTACAGTTCATAAATAGGCGACGCTTTAATACCAGCGAACTCGGAACACTCGTATGCTAGGTAACCATAGTGTGAGATACACTTCAATTTTCGCCAAATACAAAGTGGATTGTTCAAATAAATTGACTATTTGAATTATTTACGCGGTGTGATACATATAGCTATTGTTACTGAATTTCTACGCGCGTAAAGCAAAATTTATTATACATAACCTGCTGCTTGCTTTCATCCCTCTTACTAATCAAGTACCAGTTTTATGTTGATTTAGCACGTGACTGCCAACAGGTGATCTGTGTTCATTTCCACTGAAACCAAATTATTTCCGGAGGTATATTAAAAAGTAACACTATATAATTTATTTTTCATGCAGGTGAATGACGCCGTAGAAACCCTACAGAACTTAAGCTGCAACTTTGCTAGTGCAGAAGTGAAGGCTCAGGTAAGAATTCAAGAGCCGTAAGGACAATTAGTTAAGTGCACGCAATACTTTAGAACAGAATACCTATCGTTTAGCAAATGTTACGTTTTTTATCCTTATATGACATACCATCTTGAACAGAATGTGAGCTTTCATTACCCCAATACCCCACAGGTGTACCACGTCATCACCTGTCTCCAGCCGTTAAGAAAATTCGACATGTGTGGATGGTACACGCTGGACTACCCATCGCTAGTAACGGTACGTCACAGACCTCCATTGTGTTGAAGTATAGACACTTAATTCACAACATTTTGCAGAGAATTCACGTTTTCTTTGAAGAATAGGAAAATGATAATGAGGTTATGTCTTTATTTCCAGGCGGCGAGCGTTGTCATTACGTATTTGGTGATTCTTCTTCAGGTTGGCGGCCTCCAGCTGCAGAAATAAGCTGAGATTCCCAGAGAGAGAGAGA